CATGACCGCTCACTGAGCGTTTCTTCATCTGAGGAAGACATCACTGAGGCAGGAGCTGCAGCAGGAGGGCCTGAGGGCCCAGGGAGAAGTGATCTGTAGGAGAGAGGAGTGCATGTGAACAGACATGGGGGTCATATCAGGAACACTGGGTCTTGGGAGGCAGAGGTTCTAGTCCTGGTTCTGTTCACTGACTTGCTCTCTTTATGTCTCTGAACCTCAGTTTCTTCATCTGGAAAAATGGGATGATTATAATACATGGCAAAACTATTCACAGGGTTTTGGGGAAAGCACATGAGAAAATACATGTGAAGATGATTAGAAATCTTAAAGCACTATGTACATTAGCTCCTATTCCTAGTAACCACTATTATTATTACTTGGTACATTTGCAGCTTACAGATTCCACAGATAGAAAAGATGTGTTCAAATTCTACCCCACCATTTACTAGCTATGTGATCTTGGATAAGTCATCTAACCTCTTTGACTCTCAGCATTCTCAGTTATAAAATGGGGATGATGGTAGTCCCTAATTTCACAGGTTGTTTGCAAGGAATAAAAGAGATCCTGCAAGAAAAAGCACTTTACAGTGCCTGGTGTCCAAAAAGCACTCAATAAACAGTGTCTATTATTACATTCCTGTTCTACCTACCTCCTGTTATAATGATAAAATGGGGGCAAGCAGATGGGAAGTATTTCCAAAAGCTAAAGCACGATCTCAATGGCAGGCATGAAATAGAGCATGAACTGTAATAGGCAGAAATTCTTGATTTCTCCCATTGTGTCTCTGGCAAATATATTAGAAAAAGTATTAAACTTTAAGCAAGACAGACCTGGGTATGTATTCTGATTAGGTCACTTATAGTTGGTGTTATCTGGGGCAAGTCCCTTCACCTCTCTGAGACTCATTTCCTCATCTGAAAAATGGGAGTAATATTTCATCTTAGAGGATGTTTTAAGAACATAGTGAAGTGCAAATGTAAAACTGGCTGACACCATTCATGGCACACAATGCTTATTTGTTTATTCCAAGGACTGTTGTGGAAATAAATGGCACAGCATGGCGATGGGGGAGGTGGTAAAGAAAGTCAGTTTTTCTGGTCAGTTTAGCTAGGGGACAGATCTGAGTGGAAACACAGTCTCTCTGGGGCCAGCTGGGCTCCACCAGCCAGACTGGGCAGCCTTCCCTCAGTCAGGCCAAGCTCCGTTCCCAGAACCATCTGCTACACATGGCCCACCACCCCAAGGCCTCATCAGAGCATAGATGGTGCATTCCTTCAGCTACCAGTGTTCCTGCAGGCCCCGAATCCAGCCCAAGTAACCAGTTCTCACTTTGACTCTAGGGTCCAGGGAGGGCACTTATGGGGAATATTCCTTATGGGGGAATACCTGTGCACAATGGACTATGTGGAGACAGTGAGTTGGACTAAATGGCTGGACACCATGGGTCTCTTGACACAGCTCGTCCTGGATTCTGGGAATCTCAGCCTGGAGGCAACAAGGGGCAGAGAAGGCCTCCTGGGTCATTGGCATATCCCCATCATAGGCACAGAATGTGACAAGATAACAAAAGAAACATCAAACGGTGCAGAAGGCCTCTAGGCAGCCTCGGGCAGACAGAACAGCCCTGCCAGGGCACCTCCTGTGCCACCAAGCACTCTGGCACCAATGCCTTACAGGGTAAGCTGGGATACTGAGTACAACCCACGGAGGCTGCTTTGGATGCCTTTGGAGGAAGCAGCAGGGAGATGACTTCACTAAGCTCCCCTCTACCGAGCCAAAAACAGTATTCAGAGCTTTACGTACATTATCTCATCTAATTCCCAAGGTGGCCCTGCACAGGAAGCATTCTTAAGATGAGGAAAGTGAGGCTCAGATAGGGTAAGAGACTTGCCCAGAGTCACACAGCTGGTCAGTGGAAGGGCCACAATCCAGCACCTCTCCTCTCTGACTCCAAAGCCTGCACTCATAACCACTGCCCTGCACTGTTCTGCTGCTTGGCAAAGGAGAAGCCGGCATCTGCCACAACAGGATGAGGTAGCCCTTGCACTACACAAATGGTAAAGGTATACCAAACTTTTAGGCAAGATGAGTGAAACTGCCTTCTCCAAGGACTTTATTGCAAGGGTATAACTCAACAGAAGTCAAGTGTTATTATCCATAAAGATGTTCGGTACAGCATTGTCTACTATGACAAAAAAGTAGAAAATGAGTAGGACTTTTTAAATCATGAAATATCACACAGCATTAAAAAGGGTAACTGTAAAGCCTAAGATATAACATGGAAAATCTTTTTTGATATAAGAGTAAGTTTAAAAAAAGTCATATTGAGAATGGTACATAAGTCATGAAGGCAACTGCATGGGAAATATAACAGCATGGGTACAAAGGCAGGGAAGAGATGCAAAAAATGAACATAGGTCTCAAGTCAGCACAGGGGGATTAGGAGTGGCAGGTGTTTCTCTTTCAAATTTTTCTTTAATGTTATTTCATTATCTTTTCAATAGTAAATAATACCAAATTTGATTCCAGCTGGCTTGTCAGAGAGCCCTGACGGAGACCTGTCCACTCCCCACTCCTGCAACCAGTACCCACTGGCCGGTTCTTCCCTTGCACCCTCAGCACCCAGCTCACTCAGGGCTCTTACCAGCGACTCTGACCACAGCACGCTCTGCAGGGTCCAGCACTGAATCCTGGCTTTTCCGCTTTTTCTGCTCATGCAGTGGCAGGTTCCAGGGTAAGGTGTCCCCTGGGGGACAAGGAGACAGGCTCCCTGATCGCTCGCTCCTGTAAGACCGCTCACTTCGGCACGACCGCTCACTCCGGCATGACCGCTCACTGAGCGTTTCTTCATCTGAGGAAGACATCACGGAGGCAGGAGCTGCAGCAGGAGGGCCTGAGGGCCCAGGGAGAAGTGATCTGTAGGAGAGAGGAGTGCATGTGAACAGACATGGGGGTCATATCAGGAACACTGGGTCTTGGGAGGCAGAGGTTCTAGTCCTGGTTCTGTTCACTGACTTGCTCTCTTTATGTCTCTGAACCTCAGTTTCTTCATCTGGAAAAATGGGATGATTATAATACATGGCAAAACTATTCACAGGGTTTTGGGGAAAGCACATGAGAAAATACATGTGAAGATGATTAGAAATCTTAAAGCACTATGTACATTAGCTCCTATTCCTAGTAACCACTATTATTATTACTTGGTACATTTGCAGCTTACAGATTCCACAGATAGAAAAGATGTGTTCAAATTCTACCCCACCATTTACTAGCTATGTGATCTTGGATAAGTCATCTAACCTCTTTGACTCTCAGCATTCTCAGTTATAAAATGGGGATGATGGTAGTCCCTAATTTCACAGGTTGTTTGCAAGGAATAAAAGAGATCCTGCAAGAAAAAGCACTTTACAGTGCCTGGTGTCCAAAAAGCACTCAATAAACAGTGTCTATTATTACATTCCTGTTCTACCTACCTCCTGTTATAATGATAAAATGGGGGCAAGCAGATGGGAAGTATTTCCAAAAGCTAAAGCACGATCTCAATGGCAGGCATGAAATAGAGCATGAACTGTAATAGGCAGAAATTCTTGATTTCTCCCATTGTGTCTCTGGCAAATATATTAGAAAAAGTATTAAACTTTAAGCAAGACAGACCTGGGTATGTATTCTGATTAGGTCACTTATAGTTGGTGTTATCTGGGGCAAGTCCCTTCACCTCTCTGAGACTCATTTCCTCATCTGAAAAATGGGAGTAATATTTCATCTTAGAGGATGTTTTAAGAACATAGTGAAGTGCAAATGTAAAACTGGCTGACACCATTCATGGCACACAATGCTTATTTGTTTATTCCAAGGACTGTTGTGGAAATAAATGGCACAGCATGGCGATGGGGGAGGTGGTAAAGAAAGTCAGTTTTTCTGGTCAGTTTAGCTAGGGGACAGATCTGAGTGGAAACACAGTCTCTCTGGGGCCAGCTGGGCTCCACCAGCCAGACTGGGCAGCCTTCCCTCAGTCAGGCCAAGCTCCGTTCCCAGAACCATCTGCTACACATGGCCCACCACCCCAAGGCCTCATCAGAGCATAGATGGTGCATTCCTTCAGCTACCAGTGTTCCTGCAGGCCCCGAATCCAGCCCAAGTAACCAGTTCTCACTTTGACTCTAGGGTCCAGGGAGGGCACTTATGGGGAATATTCCTTATGGGGGAATACCTGTGCACAATGGACTATGTGGAGACAGTGAGTTGGACTAAATGGCTGGACACCATGGGTCTCTTGACACAGCTCATCCTGGATTCTGGGAATCTCAGCCTGGAGGCAACAAGGGGCAGAGAAGGCCTCCTGGGTCATTGGCATATCCCCATCATAGGCACAGAATGTGACAAGATAACAAAAGAAACATCAAACGGTGCAGAAGGCCTCTAGGCAGCCTCGGGCAGACAGAACAGCCCTGCCAGGGCACCTCCTGTGCCACCAGCATTTGAGTTTTCTTCCCATGGAACATCAAGAAGGAATCCAAACAGAGGGCAGAAAGAAAAGGACCCAGGTGCTGGCATAGATTTGCCCTTTATCTTAGCATTTGCCCCTTCCCCCCAGTTACCTTCTGGTGCCCACCTCCCATTTCTTAGAGCCAAGTCAGGTGCTGGAGTGACCGCCCCCACCCCCGGGAAACTCGGGCGGTGCTTCCATCCTTATCCTCAGCCCAGGGCAGGAAAACGCCCCTCCTCTCAGACCACCTGCTTTATCCCAGAACCGCCCATTCCTCCTCAAGACGCCCATTTTACTACAAAGGCCCGCTCATCCAAGGCTTGCTGACAGAGAAACCGTCCCTCCTAGGCTCTACCCCGACGGTCTCCAGACCCCCACAAACACTTGTTTGACCTCGGGGCTCTCGCCCTGCCCCTCAGACATCTGAGTCACTCTGTCAAGCCCGAAATCACAGGAGCGCGCGCCCACGCCCGCAGCTCACCGCCAAGGCCACAGGCCGGGTCCCAGAGCGGCACCACACCAGGCGCGCTGCGGCCCCTCTCACCTCGTCCCCGCCGCCTTCCCCACGGTGGGGGGAGGGACGCGCCCGGGAGCCCGCGGCGACACGGGTGGGTCCGCGTGCCCGCCGCGCGCGGCTGACAAAGAGCGGGACCGCGCCATGCGGACGCGCGACCGAGGGCCGAGCGGGCGCCGGGGCCAGCGACCGAGACGCGGGGCCGGGAAGCGACCTTCCCTATCCGGCCCTGCCCGCTCTCGCAGCCCTCTTGCTGGCCCGGAGGGCTCCGTGTCCCATTTTCCCGGAAAACACTTCTCCCTTCGGCGCAGGCAGCGCCCGCCGAGGGAAACCCCAGCTCCGCGCTCCCTGGCACCGGCCGCTGGGGCTGCAGGTGCGAGGTACGGACGGCCGCAATGCCCCAGCCTGTCAACCCGCCTCCCGGCTGCTGCCGGCTACCCGCGCTCCGGCGCTGCCGCCCCGCGCACCCCGGGTCAGGCAGGGAGGCTGCCTCCAGCCCCACGCCCCGCGCCTTACCCTGGGAGCCGAAGGAGGGGAAGCCCGGCTGCCGGCAGCAGCGGCGGCAGCGGCGGCAGGGCGCGCCTGGAGCTGAAGCGCAGCGGAGCCGAGGGGAGCGGCTCCCACAATGGCCGAGCTCACGGCGCCGAGCCCCCCGCCCCCCGCGCCCTAGCGGCAGCGGCTGAAGCGGAGCCGGCGCAGCCGCCCAACCCGCTCCCCCACCCCCAGCGCCGACGCCGCCCCCCGCCCGCCTAGGCACCCCACCCCTCGCCCTGCACCCAACCCTCCGCGGCCTCTGTGCTCCCGGTGCGTCCCTGCCTGCCGGCCTCCCGCGACCCCTGCACACTGACCCCGCGTCCTTTTGCTACCCGCTGGCCTTCTCACTAGGTCCTTCCCTGCAACATCTCCCGGGCGGCAGCCAGTGTCTCCGGGCCAACTCACGCCCCCACGTTCCCCGCCCGCTGCTCCGGCGCTCTCTCCGTCCCGGCCTCGCGGCCGCTCGCCGACCCTGGCCTGGCTCACCCGGCCCTACTCCTTCGAGCTCCTCACCTCCGTCCCCGGGTCGCTGTCCCAGACTTCCGGGCTGTCTCTCAGCTTGGAACCCGGTTCGCGAACAGCCCGTTTTCCTGCCTGTCCCCCTTTTGCCCATTTCCCCTAAACTCACACTGTGGCCCTGCTCCTAGGGCTGCCCCTCCGGTAGAGCGCCCAGCTGGTCTACATACCCACAGGGCTTTGAGAACTGAACGCAGGAGGGACCAGAAGGAAGCCCCATCATCCCCGCAGGGTAAAGGGCAGAGGGGAAGCAGACCCGGAGGGAACTCAGACCTTGCCTTCAGAGCCTTGGAAGAGTCTTCAACTACGGAGAAAACGTTTACTGAGCTCCTGCCTAGTATTTGAGAAAATAAGAACCAGGAGTGCCTTCTATACTCTCATAGTGTAGGTAAGTACATCTGTCTAGAGAAGGGAGGATATTTGCCTAAAATCACTCTACTAGTAACCTGCCTAGCAATAGTCACCATTTGGGTATCCTCCGGGGGCCTATGCAAGGTGCTTTACCTAATGGGTCATACCACACCTAATCCTCACCACCCTGCCCATTCATTCAGCAAGTATGTATGGAACATCTACCACGTGCTAGGCTCTGTGCTTGGTGCTAAGGATACTGTAATGAGCAAGATGCATCTGGTCCTTTCCCATTGACTCCACTGGGCTTAGCAGTAAAGACAATTAGGTATAAATCATAATGTATCCCATGAGGCAGTATTATGATCTTCAATTTTGGGATATAGAAACTGAGACTAGATGATTTACTCAGTCATCTAGGAGGAAAGTAACTAATCCAGGACTAGAATCCATGCCTTGAGACTCCACATCCTGTCTTCTTTTTCACTGTAACAGTTGGGAAAATGTGGGTTGGACCAACTTACAGAGGCCCTTGAACTTCAAGCTAAGAATTTGGTCTAAATTATATGATTACAAGCAGCCAAAGAACATGGAAAGCAGAAGAGTAAAAGTAATCCAGGGGCAGGTATACAATGGGTGTGGATGGGTATGCTGGAATCCTCCCAGCAAAAGGCAGTTAGACTGATCCTGGGAAGGCACTGTGGGTTTGGAAGGTATGATTTCCACCCACTGAAACCTTCTAAGTTTCTGTTTGCCTGCGTTCTCCTGTATTAAATGTGCAAAAGGAACCTTAAGCACTAGGCAATACCCTGGGTATTTTGTGTATATTATCTTGTTAAATCCTTCACATAACCCTGTGAGGTAGGTTCCTTTATTATTTTCATTTTGCAAGTAAGGAAACAGAGATGTTGAGAGGTTAAATGACTTACTGACGCCCACAAAGCAAACCAGTGATGAGGTTTGGGTTAGAGCCCAGGCCTCTCTCCAAATCGCATGCTGTAACTGTCGTTTCCCACTGTCTGGAGCCAAGACAAAGAACCCAAGATCTTTAACTCAGCCAAGAGTTCTTTTCTTGAAACCACAGGTATTTCTCAGACTTTCAGAGAAAGGTCAAAGGTCCACGGTTGTAACCTAAAGTGTATCTGGGCAAGCAGTGCAGGTCCTTGTGTGAAATCTCTCCACTGAAGCCTGCAGAGGCTTCAGCCCAGGAGAATTCTGCAGCCTGATTCTAAAGTTCCTGTGGGGGTGGGCTGAGAGATCCTGGACATGAAGCTGAAGAGAGGGGATCATGGCTGCCAAGAGGAAGACAAACAGAAAGCATGGCCAGAGTGTGGAGAGGCTGGGTATGAAACTGAATCTCTAGGGGCCCGAATCTGTGGGCAGGGCCTTGGGAGACGGGGGCTGTCAAATCACCTGGTAAGCCTGCAGTCCCAGCCTCCCTGACTGGAGAGCATCTAAAGATTCTCCTCTTCTCCAACTTCAATGTCCTTCCCAAATCTGACCACCACTTCTATCCTGAATTATTCATCATGTGGGTTGTGAGAAGGTGGAGCTTGGGGAGGCTTATGGACTTAGGACATTCATCTGTGTCCCTCCAGGGTCCAACAGAGCTACCCTGGGATTGAGCTGCTAGTGAGATTTGCCAAACTCTTTGCAGCAGGCAGCCAGCCAGTAGCCTTGGGCTACTGGGGTGCCATTCATTTCAGCTATCTTTTATTGAGTAATACTATGAGCTGGGGACAGTTCTAGGTTCTGTGGGGAACACAGAAGTGAATCTGATCAGGTCTTTGTCCTTGAGGACTCACAGAATAGTAGAGGAGGCAGGCACTTAAAAATTATTCTTCTACAATGTCCTTTGGGTCTGATAAGTGTTCCCCTCTACTGTCCCCTATTTCACAACTGAAGGCCTCTGCTAATTTCCTCCAGAAATTAATGGCCTTGGAACTAGGGAACTTCATATCCCAAACACCTGAGCGTGTTTCTATCCTTGGAGGAGCACCAAAACAACTTCTTACCATGTGACTATTTGGAGTCCTGAACTAGAGCTCCAGACTGCTACTTGGGCCGCCAGCTTTCCAGCCACATCAGGAGAATGGCACTTATTCTTTAACCCATCCATTCAGCAAACACTGATTCAGCATGGCACCCAGCTTTGTGCTGCTGGTTCAAAAACAAGACAGACATGGCACTTGTCCTCATGCTGCTCAGTCTAGATAGGATATAGACAAGCAGAAGGGCAATTACACTTCAACTGATTGTACTGAGATGGGGAAATACAGGGTACCCTGGGAGGAGGCACATAAAATGGACACTTTCTAGAAGCTTAAGGCCAGGTTATTTCACCAGGTGTTTCATCCTTGTCTTTCTAGGTCTTTGCTTAAATGGAAACTCTTTCAGTCATCTATCTGCATGGAAAAGCTTTACTCTACCATACTGGCTTCTCCTTCCATATTGTTCTCTATCCCATCCTATTCTTCTGGACCCTCTGGAATCAGAAAGGTGTCTAACTGAAGTGAGGGTAAACATGAACATGAGTAGGGCCTTGTGAAGTAATGCTATCCAGACATAGGGAACAGCACAGAACCCCCAAACTCAGAGGGGCCTTGACAATGTCTAAGCTCTGCCTAGGACATTTTTTCTTCCCACCCTTGCCTGATTGATTCCTCCCATCTATACACTGATGATGTCTAGATTTGTATCCCATCTGTATCTCCAGCTCTCATTTCTCTCCTCCCAGCTCCAGACTCATATCCAACTGACTCCTTGACACCCCCATCCCCATCTGGATTCTAATAGGCATCTCAAACTCAAAATATCCCACAGAGAACTCTCGGTATCTGCCCCTTCCCCCACAAAACTGTTCCTCTTCCAGTCTTCGCCATCTCAGAAAATGGCTCCACTACTTACCCACTTACTCAAGTCAAAGTTCTAGTAGCTACTCTTCATTTTTCTTTCTCTTATTTCCCTCATCCACATCAGTAATGTTTGACATACCTCATTCATAATGTATCCTGAATTTATCCACTTCTTCCATCTTTCTGTTACTCACCTGGACAACTGCACTAGCCTTCTCAATGATCTCACTGTTTCCACTCTTGCTCCCACTCCATGTCAATCCATGAAGCAGCCTAGAGTGAGTCTTTTAAAACATAAATCATGTCATATCCACACAGTTCATATCCATTTAGAACAGAATACAAACTCCTTATAGTGGTCCATAATGATCTGACACCTGCTTAGACCTGATCTCAAGACCCCTTGCTCACTGGATTCCCACAAATCAGACCTTTCTATTTCTGTAACAAGCTGATCTCAATCCCATTTTAGGTGCTTGGCAAAGCTGTTGCGGCTGCCTGGAATTCCCTTCCCTAAAATCTGCATAATTGGTGCCTTTTTCATCAGCCAGGACTCAACTTAAAAGTCACCTTCTCAGACGCCTTTCAATCATCCATCTAAAGTAGCCACCTCCTTTGAACTGTGTTTTATTTTCTTCATAACACTTACCACTTTGTCATCATCTTGCTTAGTTGTTGACTTGTTTATTTTCTGTCTGCCACACAAGGATGCTCCGTGAGAGTGAGGATTCTGTCCGTACTGTTCACTGCTGTATCCCTACAGTGCCTGGTACATGGTGGGCTTTCAACAGATACTTGTTGAATGAATGAAAGCTTGAATGAGTGAATCAGTGAAATGGGGACAGCAGAGGAAGAGACTTACCAGCAGAGAGATCAGTATGTACAAAGACCTGAATTGAGAGACAAGGAGTATAAGTTGCTCAGGAAATTGAAAGAAATTCAGAATAATTGGCACAAAGAACTTGTGTTGGGGGTAAATTGTACAAAATGAGGCTGAAGAAGTAGTCAGTAGAAATTACGGGAATGCTGGGTTTTATACTCTCCCAAGTTCAAGGGGAAGCCACTGGAGAGCTGGGTGGTTGTGGGTTTTGTTTCCAGCTTTACTGAAGTATAATTGACAAAGTTGTAAGATATTTAAAATGTACATCATGATGATTTGATAAACCCATATATTGTGAAAGGATTCCCCCCACCTAGTTGATTAACACATTCATCACCTCACATATTTATCTCTTCTTTAGTGAGAAATTTAAGTTCTACTGTTAGTAAATACCAACATACAATACAGTGTTATCAGCTATGGTCACCCTGTTTTATATTAGCTCCTCAGACCTTATTCATCTTACAGCTGAAAGTTTCCACTCTTTTACCAGCCTCTCCCTATCTCCTCTACCACCCAGCCCCTGGCAACCACTTTTCTATTCTCTGTTCCAGTGAGTTTGAGTTTTTTCTTTTTGATTCCACATATAAGTGACAGCATGCCATATTTCTCATGCATGTCTTTCTCTGGCTTATTTCACCTAGCATAATGCTCTAAGTATCCATCCCTGTTGTCGCAAATGGTAGGATTTTCTTCTTTCTCATGGCTGAATAACAGTCCATTATATATATATATATATGCCACTTCTTTATCCATTCATTTGTTGATGGACACTTAGGTTGTATGAGTCTTTTAAAACATAAATCATGTCATATCCACACAGTTCATATCCATTTAGAACAGAATACAAACTCCTTATAGTGGTCCATAATGATCTGACACCTGCTTAGACCTGATCTCAAGACCCCTTGCTCACTGGATTCCCACAAATCAGACCTTTCTATTTCTGTAACAAGCTGATCTCAATCCCATTTTAGGTGCTTGGCAAAGCTGTTGCGGCTGCCTGGAATTCCCTTCCCTAAAATCTGCATAATTGGTGCCTTTTTCATCAGCCAGGACTCAACTTAAAAGTCACCTTCTCAGACGCCTTTCAATCATCCATCTAAAGTAGCCACCTCCTTTGAACTGTGTTTTATTTTCTTCATAACACTTACCACTTTGTCATCATCTTGCTTAGTTGTTGACTTGTTTATTTTCTGTCTGCCACACAAGGATGCTCCGTGAGAGTGAGGATTCTGTCCGTACTGTTCACTGCTGTATCCCTACAGTGCCTGGTACATGGTGGGCTTTCAACAGATACTT